GGACATTTTTACAGTAATGGATATTTGAAAATAGCAGCAACATCAGAGATGTGCAGAATGACAGCAGAATGTTATTTAACTGACTAAGATAGAAACTAAAAATCAGCATGAATGTAAAAACTTATTGAGTTTGTTGGGATCAGTGATGGTTATAGAGTCTTCCAGCTGCTGGGAGGAAGGATCTGTGATAACGCTCCCTGGTGCATTTATGGTGCAGCAGTCTGTCACTGAAGGAGCTCTCCAGTTCTGGAACATTTTCATGCATGAGGTGGGAAATATTAGTTAGGATCCTTTTGTTTCCCATCTCCTGCAGAAAGCATCCAATAACGGGCTCTATGTAATAAACAATGTATGTGCAGTGTGCTGTATTTAATCTGAACAGCTGCATGTCTTCTTTTAGCACTGTTACTTTAAAGGTTCAGGGTTTAAATTCTCTCTTTGGAGTTTCCATGCTCAATACGTGTGTGGGTTCTCCCAGTTCACTCCAAATGTCTCCCTCAGAACCTAAAATATGCGAGTTAGATTGACATTATGTTTATGCTCGTTCATTTGGTGTGTTTTTGTGTTGATGGACTGGTAACCTGTACACAATATGCTCCAGAGACCTTGGCTCATTGCTCTATGAGCAAAGTGCGGCAAGCAGAAACAAAATGCGATCATAGAGAGGAAATTACTCAAATAGTAAAAACAGCTGTAACCTAGCTCCAAGAAAACAGAAGCGCTCCAGACCACTAGAGGGAGTCGAACAAAGAACAAACCTTATGTTACTTCTATGCAGGCTCAGACTGGTGGGCAGGCCGGCCCTCCTTAAATCATACCGGCCCCCAACGCTTACTCTCCAACCAAAGCACCTACCTGTGACAGTAAATAACTCAAGGAGCTCAAACTATGATGTTCCTCTTATATTTGGCGAATTTATGTTAGAATATTTTGCAAAACTATGTTGCAGTGCATGATGGGGTTTTGCATCCAAAGACTAATGTTTCCCGTCTGACGTGCATTGTTGCCAGGTTGGGATGTTTCCCAATTTTAGGCTATGTGTAAAAAATATTTTTCTTTAGATTTATGGCCTAAGAGATCAATAGACTTTGGTTCAAATTGGGCGAGATTTCGTATATCCAGGCAGTTCATGAAATTTTTTTTAGTTGGAAAAGTCAGTGACATCTGGCAACCCTGCTGATGTGGCGAGTGGCACTACATTCTCAAAATCTTAGATCCGCAAGAAGTACAGTTGAGGCTTCAGAATTGTTTAAAACGACCAGGTCCCAACTTTATTTGGCATGTCGATTCATATGAAAAACTAAAACTATATGGAATCTGTATTAATGGAGCTGTTGAGGGATTTTCGCGTATGGTCAGGTCCCAGGTTTAAAGCTGCGTACTTTGTTGATAAAGTGAAAAACAGGAGCGGAGCTCTAACGCGTATCAGGTCAGACCTCCCACCAGAGAACTGTTCATTGGAACAGATGCAGATAATTTCAAGAAGTGACCATGAAGACCTGCTTTCTGAGAGATGTTTCATTACTGGCTCAAGTAATCATAACCAAATATATAGATAAGATCTCGTAATTACCAGATCTTTTCTCATAATTACGAGATAATAACTCATAATTACTCAAAATAATGAGATAAGCTGTCTGATTTTTTTTCTTTGGTAAATACACTTACATAGTAACTGTATTTATTTACGTACTATATATAACTATATAACTAAAACTTCTGTTTTCTTTGAGCAACTATACAGCTATTTTAGTATAAGCATCATTTTCCTTCTGTCACTGGAGCATTTTGTTTTTGCTTGCAGTAATTTTTTCTCCTGTGCTTACGTTTGTTTTTTGTGTTTGCATGTTCTAGAGTTTGCATCATATGTCTGTTTGCAGCTTGTTTTGTCATTTGCTGCTGGTTTGCACCTGTTAAAATTTGTTTCTTTTTCATAAGCAGCATTTTTCTGTTGTTTTTTTGTGATTGCATGTTTTGGAGTTTGCATCACACATGTTTTTTCAGCTCGTCTCGTTTCATTTGCACCTGTGGGCCTCAGTGGTATCTAGATAAATCCATCATCTGCCAGCATTGACCAACTTCCCTAATGTCGTTGAAGTGTTTTACAGTCTGAAGAACTCAGGTTTGGTTTTAACCAACCAGAGTGATTTCCTTTTTATGATTACTTTCTCTGGCTGCTCAGTGGGGCAGTGGGTAGCACTGTTGCCTTGCAGCAAGAAGGTTCTGGGTTTGATTCCCGGCCCAGGGTCTGTCTGCATGGAGTTTGCATGTTCTCCCTGAGCATGCATGGGTTCTCTCTGGGTACTCTGGCTTCCTCCAACAGTCCAAAAACATGACTGTCAGGTTAATTGGCTTCTCTAGACCCTCCTTAGCTG